TGTCCACAGGCTTTCTAGCAATTTCGTGCTCCAAGTTGTGGCTTCGGAAATGTTGGCTGCCTTCCCCACATCCCACAAGAACAAGGGGAGCTTTGTAAGGCTGTGACCGGCCTGTCCAGCAAGAACCACCCCTCCCAGCCCCCCAGCTGTCCTCAGACCAGGCTGTGTGCTGCTCGGCACCGCAGAGGTGAAGGTCTTCCATAGGATTCTTGCAGCCCACGGGCGGTATAGGGGAAGCAGGCGCTGCGCTAGGTGTCGCGGAGCTTCTGCAGGGCTCTCTCCCATCCTCTCCAGGTTTGAACCCGACTCCCTCTCCTCTCCTCTCCTCTCCTCTCCTCTCCTCTCCTCTCCCTCCTGTCTCTCCCCTCCCATCCTCCCCTCCCCTCCCTCCCTCCTCTTCTCTCCTCTCCAAGCTTTTAACTTCCCACCTCAGAGTCTGCATTATAGTAACTGACATCTGCATGTATGGATGGAAGTGGCCCTCACTTCCTAACAAGCATCTCGTCTACTTTAGGATCAGAACTCCAAACTTTAGCTCTTTCTTTGAGTCAAGCCCTTTTGGAATTCAAAGCAAAGCCCATTTCTCTCCCAAGCAGTGCCCGGCTCTCGTAAATCAGAAGCACTTTGCTTTCAGCCTTTGTGTCTACTGTGAGTTAAAAGCATCCACGAAGCTCTCCGGTTGCCCACTCTGTCGGATCGCTGTCTGTCCTGCCCGTGAGTGCCGTTGATTCAGTTGGCGCCAAGCTGTAGGCAGCTAGAAATCCCTAACGATCAAAAATATTTTTGTTCACTATTTCGAAAAGACTCTCCTACTATACATGCTACGACCCTTGGAAGAAGTCTTGGTGTATCTGCTGGTGGCTTTTTATTTTTTTTTTTAACAAAACAAATGTATCATTTTGTTGTCTGTCAATACATGGCATCTTTTCTTCCCAAGAATTTTCAAGTAGGTTCTTTACTATTTTCTTTTTCTTTAGAACATTCTAGTAGGAAATTGAGGAGGAAATTTGCCAGTTTTTCTGATAGTGAATGATTATCTATTTGGCAAAAGGTGGTCAGGTGGGGCATAATTGCTCCAGTCTGAACTCGTAGACGAGGATTTGTTGGTCACTGTAGTTAACAAGTCTAATCACATTTTGCTTCCTTACTTCAGGCCGAACAAGTGCTTCCACTTAGCATTTAATCATTAATTTTTTTTCTTTTGAGACAAGAGTGTCACTCTGTTACCCAGACTAGAGTGCCGTGCCATCAGCCTAGCTCGCAGCAACCTCTAACTCCTGGGCTCAAGCAATCCTCCTGCCTCAGTCTCCCGAGTAGCTGGGACTACAGGCATGCGCCACCATGCCCGGCTAATTTTTTCTGTATATTTTTAGTTGGCCAATTAATTTCTTTCTATTTTTAGTAGAGACCGGGCGAGGTCTCGCTCTTGCTCAGGCTGGTTTCGAACTTCTGACCTTGAGCGATCCTCCCACCTGGGCCTCCCAGAGGGCGAGGATGACAGGCGTGAGCCACTGCACCTGGCCCATTTAATCATTAAATTTTCAAACAAAATCACTATATCACACTCCTTCTACAGAGGAGGCAACTTAGGTGTCAAGATTTTCTTGCCGGTGAAAATAATCCTGCAGACTTAGGTCTTAGATGTGGGTGTTAGACGCTACTGGACGAGTGTCTGCCCTGCCTCACTTCCTCAAGGAGGGGTGCCAGACTGGTGCTTGAGAACCCAAGGAGTGGGCTCCTGTGGTCAAAGCCCGACCCTCCCACATTCAGCTCAATTCTCCCCAAGGGCTTGTCACAGTGCTCTGCACCCGGCGGTCACAAACCGTCCACTGCATGAACGGTGCCCAACATTCATAGAATACCTCTCCTCGTCATTGGGTGGTGGTTAGGGTTTTGAAAAGAGCACTTAACCATCATTAATAAACACTGTGCTTGGTTTTACTTTCATTGCAATCCTCTATGTGCAGGCCAAATTGAATTAATTATAAGCCTAATGGCTTTTCAAACCTATTTGCAAGTTTTTATCTATAGTAAAATTTAGGCATTGCAATGAAAAAAAGATAAGAGTTTAATCATGAATTATCAAGCTTCCACTGTAACAAGCCTTCCACTTCCATGAGAGAGGGGAGGGTCTAGGGAGCTGAATGGTGCTAGATCCTTCCACCAGCTATTGCATGATCAGACATACTTAACAGATATACTATGTGTTGGATGAGGTTTGCAACAAGGAAACTGATTTAATGCCCTGTACTTTTTAAATGGGACTCTTTTCAATGGCGCCACTGGATATTTTGCTGGCATTTTGTGTTCGTGCACAAATGTACAAATATAGGCTTTAATAAATATCCCAACTCAGAGTTAGTCTATCATTTTATCTTCTTGGGCTTCAGTCTCTTCCTGTTAGACCTGCCAAGACAAACGAAATCGGTTGTCTGTTTTTGCTTTCAAGAGAAGCTTCTAAAGCTACGATCCTTAGAGTGTTTTTCTTCTGCTTGGAATGGAAGAAGCATTTTTTGTATATATTTTTTTCAAGGTGCTTCAAATGCTAGGTAAAAAGTCAGGATTTGGGAACTTTGGCAGAGTTCTGGGGGCAGAAACTTTGGTTTGGGCTGCCTTTTAGTAGACTTGAAGTTTGCCAGAACCGAAGTCCTGTTGGTTCATCCAGGGTCTTCATTGTGGCATCATTTTGTCCATAAATTCCAGGAAGGTCATTGCCACATCAGAGCAGGGGTCACAGGCTGGAGTGAAGACAGCCACCAGACTCGGAGGAGCTCAGGGCATCTTACTGGTGGGAAAACATCTTCAACAGTTGCCCCTCTTTCTGTGGCTCCTTGACCTGGCCTATGGCTTCCAAGATTGGAGGAATATATGCCTAAAACATGTAGCAACAGCATCAAAGAAAATAGATGAGTGGCTAAGAACAGGGATTTTGGAATCCATTTGTCTGGGCTGCAATTCCAGCTCTACGTATTCACACTCACACCACAAACAGAAACTAAAATATTGGCGTAATATTATTTGCACTAAGAGCAAAGCACTTACAAGATAGGTGTCTTTGTAAGAACAGATATCTGTTTGAGGAGCTACTGTTATTACAAATCTACTTTCAGCTCCTCCCTGTACTAGCACCATTTTAGTAGGAGGGAGGCAAGGTGGATTCTCAATTAATAAATCTACCATCAGGGAATTTTTTTTTGCCTTCAGTTTTATCTTACAATTCATCACTGCCACCTTTGCAATTAATTCAGCTTTATTTTATTGTATTTTTTTACATAAAACAGTTTTGAACAACCCATCAGGAGTTATCATTAACATAGATTAAAAAAAAATTCCATTCCACCCATGCGACTCAATTCTTGAGGTCCTAGGATTCATTTTTCTAATTGCTCTGTTGCTTTTACTGTTTTTCTCAGACCCACTAGGAGGCCCAGGTAATCACCCTGTATGTACCTCCCCGCACAGAAAGCTATTTCTTGTTTGCACAATAATTCTACGCCTAGAATTCATAGCATAGTCATTCCACTACCCATTCCAAACAAACCAGGATGCGTTTTCATCTTCATAGCCTGGATCCTCATCCTAATCCTGATGGTCATACCAAACAGCGATTCTTGGGCAGGTTAGTGTCTGCCTTGGTTTCCTTATCCATAAAACAAAGATAGTAGTCATGTCTCCTCATGGGGTTGTCATCAGGATAAATTACATAAACATGTCAAAAGTTCACAGAACAAAGCCTAGAACACAGAATAGCTCAATATCACTTGGTGGTACCATTACTGTTTTTATTACTGTGACTTTATTATTTTTATGTAATCTATTTCTGTTTGCCAATTACCCTGTGTCTTAGTTCAGGCCACTATAGCAGAACACCGTAAACCGGGCAGCTTATACAGCAACCCTTCGCTCCTCACGGTTCTGGGGGCTGGAAGTCCAAGACCATGGGGCTGGCATGAGCAGGCGTGGAGAGGGCTCTCTTCCCGGTTAACAGACGGCCGCCTTCTCCTTGTATCCAGATGTGGTGAAGAGAGGGTTGGCTTTCTCCCTCTTCTGATGAGGACACTAACCCTGTCACGGTGGCCCTACCCTCATGACCTAATTACCTCCCAAATGCCTCACCTGCTAATCTCGTCCCAGTAGGAAAGTTAGGGTTTCAACATGTGAGTTTTAGGACACAGACGTGCGGATACACACCTTGTATCACGGGCAGCTAGCTCAGAAGTGGCTTCAGCAGCTGAGCTGTTCCCTGCTGCATCTAGGATAGGAAAGGAAGGAAGACAGAGTGCCTGAGGTGGTTCCCCTCGGGCTCCCCCTTCACCCCTGCCCCCAAGCCAAAGCACCGCAGACTCCTTCCGGGCTTAGCGACAAGACAGAGTCTGTTATAAGGAAATATGGTTCAATGCAGATATGCAGTCCTGAAGGCTTTATTCGATACCATGTACCTGGCCCAAAAATCATTAGTAAGATCCTTTCCAGCTTTATGTATAGACACGTTACATAAGAATGTTTGCTTAATAACCGTAGCTTCCAGAAACAAAGAACTTGGCAGACAACCACAAGGAACAGGAACTTTTTTCTTTTCTTTTCTTTTCTTTTCTTTTCTTTTCTTTTCTTTTCTTTTCTTTTCTTTTCTTTTCTTTTTTTTTTTAGAGACAGGGTCTCGCTATGTTGCCCAGGCTGAAGTGTGGTGGCTATTCACAGGTGCAACCATTGCGCACCGCGACCTTGAACTCCTGGGCTCGGGGGCGATCCTCCTGCCTCAGCCTCCCACATAGCTGGGACTACAAGGCACACACCCAGCTCAGCAAGGGACATTCTTTACTGTTATATTACATTTTCTAGCAGAACGTTAAAAGTGATACTGAGGGGGAAAAAAAAATCTATTTTGAATGGATAAAACTTAATGAGTATCAAGTTATTTTCTTTAATGCGTTACTTTTATAATCCAGCAGCATAGTAAATCAATCCTGGCTGTATTAAACAAAGTGTTTTTCTTTTTAAAGATATTCTGGAGTGTGTACAATAATATCCCTCCGGTGACTAGCCTGCCTTTGAGATGTAGTTATCACTTAATGAGAGGAGAGAGGCGACCGCTTTGGTAAGTGTCTACATGTAACTTGAGGTCAAGGTGGGAGGGAAACTGTTGTGGACCTCATAAAAGATCCTGTCCCCTGAGACTGTCTGTCGCATGGACCCCAAGGAAAGTCTGTGATACCGATCATGGCCCAGGGTCTGGGAGGGAGTGTTCTACTGTTCCCCTTCTTTGATAGCTTGCTGTAGCAATGGGAGGGGTGGATAGCACGTTGGTTTGCCCAGACTGGAGTCCCAATGAGTAGTAGATCCTTATGTCATGTCATTCAGCCTTTCCGATTTATTTACTCATTAATAAAATGGTCATGTATTTCAGCTCCTTTGCTAGCAAATGACAGAAACCTAATTTGAGCAAAAAATGGATTATTATTAATTTTTTTTGAACCTGTAACTGAGAAGTTCACTGGGATTTCCAGCAGATCCGGGAGCTCAGATGTTATCAGGAATCTGGCGCTCTCCATCGGATTTGCTTTGTTTCCTTCTGCATTGGTTTAATTTTTAGATTTAATTTTCTCTCTTCTTTGGGGTAGCAAAATGGCCTTCACTAGTTCCGGTCTTGCCCCTTGCAAGTTTAGCAATGTCAGCATTTGCTGGTCTTCCCCAGAGGGTCCCAGAGACAAGGAAAGGGCAATATTCTGACAGCAGACCCGGGTCATGAGCTCATCTCTGCAACCGGGGGGTGCAATCAACCCTGTCTGAGTGAGTGTGACGTAAGAGTCGGGGACAGGTGGCTCCTCAAGGGCGAGTTGAGGTGCCCCTACCAGAGAGGGAGCAGATATTAAAGAGGGGGACACAGCAGGTGTCACTCATTAGGCCTGTGACACAAGATTGCTATGAGAATCCAACGAGACCCTGTCACAAACGGGTCAGGGTCACTGCAGTGCACAGGACTTTTCACACGGGAAACAGTCATAGAGATTGTCCATCCCCGGAGAGCCGAGGCCACCGACCTGTCAAGGCCACCTCCTCGCGGATGAGGACTGGTGCCCCATCCACCAGCCTTCCCCGGGTCGCTGCTGAATTCCACTCTCATCCCTCCTGGGCCCTAACCCTTTCCTTTTCCTTTCATCTGCTTCTCTTTCCAATAAAAGGACGGGGGGGGGGAGAGTTTATTGGAAAATGCCCCCATCGTTTCTCTTTTTACGACGAAATACTCAATCTAAACGTACATAGAACCTCTTAATCCTTGAGTATAACTTTCAACGTTGGTCTTTGATCCAGGGAAGAGGAGAGCAATGCAAAGGGTGGCGTATGGAAGATGAAAGTTCCCAAAGACAGCACGGTAGGTTTCTTCTGACCCTTTTCGGGGACTGGCTAAGCCTGGGATTGTTTGTGGACTGACTGACTGCCTGTGATGGGCATATGGTGCTTTGCACACGGCCTACCTACCTGGTGGTCTCCCAGACACGCCTGGGTGGAGGGAAATTCCCTTCTGACCTTGCTGATTTTCTGCCCCACACTGTCACCCTGAAAATGTAGCCTTGTGCTTCCCTATAGAAACGGTGTGACCGTGCAATTGCATCGTGTGGTCTGCAAGAGGCAACGCCTGCAGACTGTACAGAAAGGCTGATGGATTATCTTGGTGGCCGTCATTGCCCTGCCAGCCACGACTAACACGTGCAAGCTGGTTTTGCGCAGTAGGAAGCGGGATCCTTCCCAGCAAAGACTCGTCCCTCCTCCCCTGGGGAACAAAGGCAGTGCCGAGAATGACCATGGCGTGGGGAATGGGGTGGCCTGCGTCCCATTGCTCGTTAGGGTTTCACGAGCCACGATGCCCAGCCTCCTTCTGGAGCCGGTGAGAGTCCGCTCGGTGTGACAATCTGTTTGTAGTGGCCAAGCCTCAGAAATGCAGAATTTCCCAGGAGTGGACTTTCATCCATCATAGTGACTGGAAAGAAGAGTGACCATTCAAATCATTTAAGCCAGGAGTCCTCAAACTTTTTAAACAGGGGGCCAGTTCGCTGTCCCTCAGACCGTTGGAGAGTGCCACTGTGGGCCCCGGATGAGTCGGCTGCTAAGCAGGACAGGCAGCGGCAGCAAAAACACCCAGAGGGCCGGATCAATGTGCTAGGTGGCCCGCATGTGGCCCTCCGGCCGTAGTTTTGAGGACCCCTGATTTAAGCCCTGGGAAACCAAAAATCTTTGAAAAATGGAAGAAGGGGAAATGCTACCCATTCTCACCTCTTCATGGTTTCTTTCATGTGCATAAGCTCGAAGAATTGAAATGTCTCCAGGGACCCATATGTTGGAGCTGGAGTCATTTCTCCACAAGCACACACCTAAAGATAAGACCAGATTTATTTGTCAAAGGCGCAAACTCTTAGTCAAGATGTGTAGCTCCCAGATTTGACTGTTATTTGGCATGCATGATCAAAGATACCAGGGGAGCAAATAGCAAACCAAGCAAGGCCCATGAAGTCCCTCCATTCACCCCCTCTAAAAAAAAAGAGAGAGAGCAGAGAATATCAGGGAGTGAGAAAATGCAAGGGTTTTTATTTATTTATTTATTTTTAATTTCACGAAGAATGCTTTTTGCCTATTCATGTTCTTCGTTTACTCACACTAGACCTTGAACTCTAATAGATGTAGTCATGGCGTCAACATTCATTGAAAACTGGCTGAGAGGCAGTTCTGTCCTTTCTCTCCGTGTTGGCCCACGTGGCCACGCTCGGTCACCAACAGTCATACTTCGAAGATCGTAGAAGTTCTCTCATCCCACGCAGCTCAGCCTGCTCTTAATCGTCGACCGGAGGGAGTCTTGTGGGTCAAGCTTGTCTGAATTGAAAGAAGGCGATTTAGGTCTCCTTAGCCCTGACTCCTCTTCCCACTCTCAACTTTTATCATTAACAGCGTGAAGAACTGTGGTTGGACAGATGGACAACAGAAACGATGATTTCTAGATAGAAGGCTAGTAGAACAGAAGGCCAGAAGGGAGGGTCTAGAAAATAGAAAAGAAGAACCTCGTTGAGGATGAGAGGCCCCATTTCAGTCCCCTATTTACCTGCCCTGGCCTTGGTTAAAAATTCAGCTGGGCTGCTTAAGCTCATCAGGACAAACAATAAACACTATTCCTGTATTAATAGTTAATGTGTTCTGAGCGCCCGACATACAGCAAACATGTAGCTATTTATGGGGTAGATCTTAAATCTTGAGCCCTTCCATTGAAATCGTTGTGCTGAGCACTTTGAACAGGCGTCCTCAAACTACGGCCCGCAGGCCACGTACGGGCCGCCTAGCACATTGATCTGGCCCTCGGAGTGTTTTTGCCACCGCTGCCTGTCCTGCTTAGCAGCCGACCTGTCCCGGGCCCACAGTGGGCACTCTCCAATGGTCTGAGGGACAGTGAACTGGCCCCCTGTTGAAAAAGTTTGAGGACCCCTGACTTTGAATGTGTTCATTGACTCATTGCATAGTCTCGGCAACCCCGGGAGGTCAGCCCTGTTGTCATTTCTTGTTCCCTAAAGAAACCGCAGCTCAGAGGGCCTGACAATGCACTTGAGTACAGATCATCAGCAGCCTCTCAGGGTTCCAGCCCAGTTCTGGGAGACTTTGGCCGCCCGTTTGAATGGCAAGAGACGATATATGAGGACGAGAATTTCCAATAGGATATAACTAGAAGACCTTGTTAGCCAGTAGCTGTGGTGGATTCTGGCTATCTGCTGGATGGCTTTAGTAGATCTTGAGTAGAAGGAACTCCAGTGTTGGTAGGAGGTAGCCCAGAGCAGGTACTCATTCTTCCAGGGAAACTGCACACATTCACTTGCACTATAAGTTCCTGTGCCCGCGTGTTGCTCGGCCCGGTGTAAACAATCTGCCTCAGGTGCATGGAATTTTCACATACCTTGTAGTATTCAGTAACAAGAAATGTCCTTCAGGTGTTCGTTCACTTGGTAAGCTTTGAAGGACTTTTATGATAGAATAGAGAAGTAATGATAGAGAGAGATGACGAGAGAGAGATATTGAGAGAAGGAGCGAATAGAGAGATGAGAGAGAAGAGAATAGAGAGGAAGTAGAAGAATGAGATGAGAGTAGAGAAAGAAAGAAAGAAGAAAAAGAAGAAAGAAGAAAGAAATAAGAGTTTTGAGAGAAGAGGTTATGCTATAGCATTTACAGCTATATATTAAAATTATGGTTTATACATTTGTAGAGGGTGAGAGGTCAATATACTATTGAAAAAACTTTTTTTTTTTTGAGACAGAGTTCTCACTTTGTTGCCAGCTAGAGTGTGCCTGGCATCATGCTCGCTCACAGCAACCTCACACTCCTGCCGTAAGCATCCTGCTCAGCCTCCGGTACTGGTGTATCGGCTGCGTCACCTCCGGCTCATTTTTTTTCATATATTATTCTGTTGGCCAATTAATTTCTTTCTATTTATAGTAGATAGACGGGGTCTCGCTCTTGCTCAGCTGGTCCAACTCCTGATCGAGCAACTCCGCCGCTCTCGGCCTTCTACAGAGAGCTAGATTTACAGGCAGGATGCATCCGTGCCGGCCACAATTGAAAATTTTTAAGTCCTCTGAATGCATTTTCCCTCACTTCTTGCGGTACCATGGTTTACTGATAGGTTCACTTCACGGTTACTTTTGTGATCTCCTTGATTGTAAGTTTATGTATAAGCCAATAAAATATATGCAACCCTTATAGACGTTTACACTCGCGATTTGGAGATGTCCGAGTCTGGGCACAGAGAGTGCATGCGTGCAACGTTGACGATGTGACTTGTCTAGCTCCTAAAGATAATTGTCTAAAAATATATATGTGTTTTTTTTTTTTTTTGGTTTTTTTTTTTTTTTTTATTCTTCCCCCACATCAGTCCACAGTTTGGAAAGAGTTGTTGTTAGCAACTATCGGGGAGCAATTCACAGATCGCGCGGCTGGTAACGAAGCCCGCAGCTCTGGTCGTCGTGCCCCGTGCCTGCTTGGCTCCTGCTTGTGTCTTGCGGAATCTGTTCGTTCTGTCACTATGCAGCTGCTCAGATTTTTATTTTTTTTTAAATTTTATTTTTTGACGTGTTTGTGGTGTTTAGCGTTAGATACGTGTGTCTATGTACATATGTATATTTTACATATGTGTGTATTATATTTGTATGTATCTATGCATATATATTTTCCCCGCTCCTAGCTCAACTTAATAGGGTCTGCCACCAATCATCTGTCCAAAATAAATAGGCAGAAAGCAAAGAACAGTTTGTCATCAGTGGGGCTCTTGACACAATTTGCAGTAGGTTTCCTTTATCTGTTCCAAGGCTTGCAAAGGGGGAAGCTTGGAGGTAGGCAGGCAGGATCCCTTCGTCCCTCCTGTCCCTCTCCACCCCTTCCTTTCTCCTTTGGTCTTCGCTTGGTCCCCTGCCCAGAGAGGACCGTGGCTGCTCAGTGTCATTACCCATGATCCCACAGTGGAGGATGAAACGTAAGGTCTTCAGGACTGGCCTTTGGGGGCCATTTGCAATTGCCAAGTGCATTTCCAGAAGCCTGTTAGGAGGACTTTTGTTTTGTCTCGTGCTTAGGATGAAACCACTCAAAGAGGAGAGTGTGATGGCCTGTTTAGAGTTTTGTTTTCTTCTTTAGGTAGTTCTTTCTGAATGCTTCCGAGGTAACATTAGGGTCATATATTCCCTCTTCAGCTTTCAGTTAAGTTTTGGGTTTTTTTTTTTGTTTGTTTTTTAGCTAATGATACTGATCAATTGGCCTTCAGACTTCTCAGCTGGTGCTGTCTTTGAGAGCCCCTGTAGGGGGCTTCCCCGTCCCATGGCAAGTGTCAAATCGTCTCGCCAGCAGTTTCAAGAATCCTACGTTTATTTGCTTACTTCTTATGCCACTTGCTAGTCACTTAAGACAAAGCCTGTGATGAGAGAAATTGCCTTAGAAATACACAGAAAATTAATTAATTAATGCAGAACATTAAATCTGTTTTAATAGGGGGTAGTAGTTAGCAACTTGATAATACACATCTAGAAGTGCATCTTGTGTACAATTATAAATACATACATAAACCCTTGGGAGAAGAAATTTTATGTATGAATTATTCCTGTTTCCAGAGCCAGGGAGAATAGTCTTAAGTCATAAGAAATAGCCAGTGTCGCGTAAAGAAGACCAGTTGTTCCGTAGTTGAGTTAGGAAATGAGCCCACCTTTGACTGTTAACCATAAAGCTCTTCTGTTGACTGGCTCTGCCACTTTAAGTGAGCCAGCTGATCTCTCTGGGCCTCGCTTCCATCAGCTTCAGGCAGTGGCTCCTCCTCCACTCTAATGTCTCGTGCTGCCGGTGGCCTGACATAATTGAGGTTTGCTGGCTGATGCTACTTATGAATATTGCATGTTTGCTGGTGGATCTGCCTTTGCGTACAGGTGCAGCCTTGGACCAAGACACTGAAAGTGCCCTGCTGGTAACTGTGCCCAGCCATCAAAAGCCACGCCAAACTGAGACGTTGACAGTTCGGCATAGTCAGCGTCCATCAATTACATCACCCCCTGACCAATAGCGCAGAAACAGGCAATACCGAAAGACTGGGTAATGCGAACATTTCCCCAAAAGGCTAATCTAGTGACTGTAACCTACAGCCATTCTTGAAAGCGATCAACGGCAGAGCTTCCCTCTTTAGTTGATGATTTTGTTTTTCACGTGGAATAAAACATTGAGCTCTAGCAAGACTGTTCTTAAAGCATACATTTAAAAATAAGGAACTTGTACCTAAAAACTCTTTTCTTGATGGGATAATAAGTTTCTGTGGATAGCCATCATTAGGCACTTTTTTCTTTTTTTTTTGGAACTTTTTGTTCGAATGTGACATATATACAGAAAAAGTGCACACGTGATAAATACTCACAAAGTAAGCACACCCCTGCAGCTAGCATGCAGATAGAGGACCGGGACATTACCAGCCCCCAAGAGTGCCCCCTCATCTTCCCTTCTTTCAAAGGTGGCCACCAAACTAACTTTTTACACCATAAGCTAATTTTGCCTGTTTTTGAACATTTGTGTAAATGGAGTCATTTAGCGTCAAGTCATACACATTTAGCCAGGGTCAAATTCATTTAAAAAGCAAAGAAGGATGAGAGGAAAAAGGAAAGGGAAGACTGCAGGAGGAAAGAAAGGAATTATTGCACCAAAAATGACTTATTTGAGTAAATTGGGTATGTTCTCATTTAAATGATATCCTAATACTAAAATGTTTTGACCTCCAGAAGACAATCAGAAAAACCGATGGCATGAATATTTGGCTTTACAGAAGCTAGCAAATTAAGCAAAGCATATTAACTAAAGCAAAATTTCCTAATTCCAATAATGCTTATCTTTTGAGTGTGCAAGTGCAAAGAGCTGCCCCTATTCCATTACTGTGTTGGGAGCACAGAAAACCAGGAGTGTGTACTATTATTATTTGGCTCCCAATTAGCATAAACAAAGTGGCTACAAGGGAGTATATAAGAGTATACTTACTATCCAGCCACGATGCTCAACTGTCTACAAGGCAGCCCCAAATGTGGAATCTCACTTTTTTTTTTTTTTAAAGAACCTATATTAATCAGTGTAGGTAAATGAATGTCCATTCAATGAAATATAGTACTTAGAATCACAGAGCCATACTCAGGAGATAAATACTTACACTCGATACAGTGCTAACAGATAGGCATTGGTTCTCTGGCCCACGAATTATGCCCAGAACAAGAGGGTGATTGCTAGAGACAAGCACCGGATAGCAGGAAGAATCGGTAGGCAAGGAGTGGACAGACAGACCACAAAAAGCAGATGAGCAACATAGGGTGTGCAGTCTGGGTCCGGTTAGTATTGGGGCAGATAGCACTAACCACCTCAAGGTCTCTCTGAAAGCTTGGCAGGAAGTCAGGAGAAACTCTTGCTCTTCTCAGCAAAGACAGCCAGGGATCGAGGAAAAGTTCATTTCAGTTCACTTGGCTTGCAGAGAGCAGGGAATTATGCAACCCATTTGAAAAAGAAATCTCACCAAAACAAAGTAAGAAATAGTCAGAAAACTTTGGTAACTTTAAAAAGGATAAATGACTTATCTGGAAAACGCATTTGGCTAGAACACTTTGTTTATCTATGTCCCTGGATAAATGTGTTGTGACTGCCGCAGCTTTTGTACACTAACTTGCTTTTTTTTCCCCAATGATTCCCGTAAAGACAATTATTTCTCACAAATTCTCTTGTGCCATCTTCTTTTCCCCGTCTTATCTGTAACTTTCAGATAAAACGATTAGATTCTTAGCAACAATCAGACTGAGTTGGAAATTATCACTCATTTCTTTTTTTCCTTCTTTCCCCCCAGATGACGAAGTGATAGGAGTTAGTGTCAGCATTCGGGACCGAGAAGACGTCGTCCAAGTCTGGAATGTAAATGCCTCCTTAGTCGGGGAAGCGACTGTTCTAGAAAAGATCTATGAACTTCTGCCCCACATAACTTTTAAAGCAGTATTTTATAAACGTAAGTACTTCATTTTCCAGTTCCTACTTTCTAGCGTATTCTATCATACTTTTAAAGATAGAAACTGTGTTGCAAATGAGGTAAAGGCAGAATCACTTGAAATTCAATAATTCAGAAGAATTCGATAAAATACATTTCAGTGTTAAAAAGAAAAAAAAACAAGTTTAGTCTCAGAAATTAAAATGAGATTTTATTCTCGCCTAACTGCATGGATCAGAAAAAGGAAATACATATTGTATTTGTTATTTCAAACATTTAAACCTGGACCTAAATTCATAATCCTCAGGGGGAAAAAAAAAAAATTGACTTTCTATTGGGAAGAACAATCACAAGAATGTCATTCTACGAGCTGGTAGGTAGATATTCAATCATCCCTTCATAAACAGGAATTTATAATGGATAACATCTGTATTTGTAGAAGAACTGTATTCTGAGCACAGGCATGATTGAATGTTCTACTGAAATGCTAATATTTCCTCATTATGAGTGACTGCAACACAGGCCTGGGAGAATTCACGCACGGTGGCGACATGTTCACCGTCTGAATAGGTGTGTGGACCCATTGTTTCCATCCTGATTCATGTTCATTGCTTTTGTGTGCTCTTTTGAAAAAGTCATCTTTTTCATAACGAAAACATCTTAGGGCTATTAAACCAATATTTGGTAGCTCAAACTGCAGCTTTACACTTTTTAACAGTGAGTTAGAAAAATGGATTGACAGCCCGACACGTATATGATAAATTTCCTATGTCCCCAACTCATCCTAGAGTCGGCAACCCATTTTTTTTTTAAACTACTATACTTCATTGACTCTAAGATGCCGTTGATGATAAGGCACTCCATTACTTAGCATCATTAAGAAAAAAATAAAAGGCTCCCAATTAAAGTACGACACATTATTGCTATCAGAGGATTTCAAATCTGTGTGTGGTGGTGTTGAGGAGTGCATCTTAGAATTGCTGAAATACTTTTCATTGTTGCTTCATTTTCTTTTTTTCCAACTCCTTGCCAAAAAGGATTTTTAAAAAAATCAAATTTCATTTTGCGATTGTTCTAGTATGATAGAGAATGCTAAAAACTAAAGCCTCTCTGTAAGGAATCGCACAATTACAGACCAAATGATGTTACGTTTTAAGCAGTGGGATCGATCCGGCCCTGCAGATTACTCAGAAGTTTTGCAGATATTGTGGATTTTATATGAAAGTTCCAATAAAAGAGGCAGAAAGGCAGAACTGCAGAAGTTTAGTTGCCTGTCCATGTTTCTGATGCTATTTTTGTCCTTTAAGGACACATTCATTATATTTTCGCCGCAGATATTTAACTGAAAGGTCACCAGGGTTTTCTCTTTTTTCTACTCCACAAGAATAACTAGCGGAAACACTACAGAAGGAAGTGTGTTTCGTTGCCATTTATCAATGGGGCTAAAACACCCTTCACCACTTCTGAACCAGCCCCATACTTGACTCAAAAGAGGAGAAAAGCAATTTGGAATCATTAAGTCAAGCACTTTGGATTTTTTGATTCATTTCGAGAGTGTAACCTCAGAGCAAGTCACAACTGCCCACCCTTTTGCTTTCTCAAACGAGTATCGAGGAGAGCTTGGTCTTTTAGATGATCTCCAAGGTTCCTTCTACTTCAAAATTCTATGATTAGGTCTCCACGTACACTACTGGTCGGCAGCAGGCTCACCACAATATAAGAGTGCTACTAGCTAATGAGGCCACAGAGTGGCCAGGCTAGTTCTTAGGGCCGTGGCGACACTCAGTGACCAGGGGCAGCATGATTCGCTGCTTGGCTGTTGCAACTTGGCCAGTTGAGTCAAGCCGAACAGACACCCTAAAGGTAGAGAGGCCATTGTAAAGTTCGTGAGTAATAGAGAACGGGCTATGGGTCTCAGCAAAAGGCTACATTTTGATGGCATAAATTACCATTTCCAAACTCAAAAGATTATTCATATAAAAATCTGAATTTGAAAAAAAAAAAAACAACCAAGCAATTCTCTTTATTTTATATGAAGCAGGCAGTCCTTTACTCAGCAGGGAGACACACCACTTGCTGCAAAGATGATTTGGAAAGAGGAGGTTTGGGCAGAAATCTTATTTGCAGCATGGTGGACAGGAGGTGCAGGTGAGCTAAGTTAGAAATGGCCAATTCGTGCTCTTGCTCTGTCTTGCTAATAGGTGGGAGTAGGCACAGGTCACAGAAGCTGGGGGCCTGCAGATTCTCCAGGTAGAATGAGCCCAAGCGTATTCAGTTACAACCTCCTCCAGCAGGTGGAAGAGGATTAGACTGTGGATAATTCACACGCGATTTGGAATCACATTGTGCCTTTGACCGAGAAGGTCACCGTGCACAGAGACACCTCGCCCCCTCCCCATTCCTGTAAAGATCTTCAGAGCAACTGGGTGACAAAGGTCTTTCTCGATCGATGTGAGGCTTGCTCAGAGCAGGGGTCGGCATCTGAAACCTGCGGGCTAACTGCCCTGTCCTTGCCCCACGCCCCCCCCCATGCCATCTGAGAACGGTCTTTCCACTTTTCAATGGTTGGGAAAAAAGCAAAAGAATTATATTTTGTAACCCATGGAGATGATATGGATATCAGATTTCAGTGTCCATCAATAAAGTTGTACGGACACATAGCGATGCCCATTTGTGTCCTTAGTGTCGGTATGTCCCTCTGTGGTCCTGCAGTGGCAGAGTTGAGAGCTGGGACAGAGACGGTCAGGGCTGCCCAAACTAAGACATTTATTGTCTTCCCCTTTCTAGAAAAAGTTTGCAGACTCCTGGCTTAGAGCAGTTCTGTTCCCTGTCCGCTGGGGCTAGCTGGCCCGAGGCCGGCAGAGTGCCCTCTGCTCTCTGGGACAGCCCTCGCTGCCCCATCCTGCTTTGCGTCTCCTTAACCCACCGGCATCGCAACGTTTCAGTAATGACCACCCCGGACTGTCCCTCACACTCTGGAAGCAATAAAAATCTTGGGATGGTCCCTATCTCTGGATTTATAATTCGGAGACCAGTCTCACGGTGGTTCTGTATTTCAGTGCAGAACAAACCATGCTGCCTCCAGTGGCTGCCCTAAACATTTTTCTTAAAAAGAAAACACACACAGACACACAGGAAAAATACATGAAATTACAGCTGTCACAAATGTTCCATTAGAGGAGTTCAGATTTCTGGCCACCCTTAGGAATTTGGCCAACTGAAAGTAACCCTGGGAGCGACCCCGTGTGCTTTGCACAGGCCGTGAGCATATCGGGGTGAATGTCCAAGATGATCTAGAAGGGAAAAGAGTCCCACGCCATCCCTGACCCCCCAGCAGTAGTCTGAGGAATTTGGTGCACCTTGAAAACAGAGAATTGGGAGGGGCTTAAAAGGTGAACCAGGCCAGCCCATCTGACCCTTCCCGGGACACCTGCCACCGCTGGTGGGGGCAGGGTGTAGGGTGGCAGAGTCCCCAGGGATCCTGCATTGCCCCTGGCTTTATCAGAGGGTTAATCAAGTCCAGCAAGTGGATTCCCAGCCTTGGCCTTGTGCCTTGGAAGAGTTGCTGTGTATTTTATAGGGCTTCCACTTGAAAAAACATGTGAACCCTTTCAAAACATTTTTGGTAGCATAACTTTGTTTTTGCAATTCTAGAGTTCCTAATCGGTAATTTTGGGAGCCAGACAACAGGACTGAAAATCCACTGCAGTGGGGGGGGGGGAGGAGGGAAACATGATTGGGAAAAAGAAAAGACCCATCAATTTTGTGAAACTGCATTTCCCACAGAGAGCGGTGCGGGGAGAGGAACACAATCGCTATCACCCTGGTGTGGTTCTTTGCTTTGTTTTATTTTTGTTGTTGGATTTTATTTTTCAAGAGAGGCTCAGCGAGAGTGGCTCTGTCTCGGGTACTGTCAGGTGTCCCTGTCCCCGTGCACTTTCTGGGGCGTGTTCCCGCCTGCACCATTTGCTCGCAACCCGACACGCCCTCCTCATCAGCTTGTCGGGTGACTCATCCTCTCGGGCATAGCAAGAAGGAACAGGCAGCAGGCCCATTGCTTGTTTATCCCTTGCTTTAATTTTCATTATTACGTTTCTCAGGAAATGCACGCCTTAGCTAACAGTCACTGGGGAAAAAAAAAAGGTATCTGAGTTCTTGCCAACGTTTGGGGAAGCTGAATGAGATGCGTAGCGAAGGGTTGGCCCATCCTTTGCTTAAAGTTTTCTTTCCTTTTTTTCTTTTTCTTTTTTTTTTTTTTTTTCTGTCCTTTAGCCCATGAAGAGCATCATGCTTTTGAAGGTGGACGTGGAAAACACTAATTGCACTCTGTAAAGAATTCTTTGTCCTTTGCTGATTGGTTTTGGAGACGGTCTTAACAGGAGGGAGAGTGAAGAGAAGACATGCTGAAGCCCTGATGCTGGTCAATTTAGACTGGGTTTCTGTTCTTGCAGACTGGCCAATTAGGACTCGAAGCGGCAGGTGGGGTGGGGGGAGATTGTGTGTATTTCTACCGTGGCATTATTTGCTTAAAAAAAAAAAAATTTTTTTTTTTGGGGGGTGGGCTTTCTAAATTCTCCATTCTTTTCACTCTGAATTTTTTTTTTTTTTTGCCCTTTAAAATTCCTTATTCAGTCTAATTATTGTTTTCTACACTCCCCTTTTCATTGAGGCACAAGAAAATTGGTTCCCCGTTTAAGCAGCTCTGCTGTACCTAGTTAATGAGAAATATGCATAATCACGACAATGCTGCTTTTGGAAACCACACTGTGTACAGAGAGGAATACGAGCTTGGTCAAACCTGTCTTCTGCTTATTTGTTGTGACACATTTCTACGTACCATGAGCTGGGCATTGTTTTTTTTCTGTCCCAGGGAAAAGAAAAACCATACTTAATCTGAATTTGCACTGACAGCACACACACACACACACGCATCTTTTATTTTTCCTTTCTAAAACTTTCTCTTTTTTTGGTTAGTGATAAAGGGGGAAAACAAAATAGTTGGGTTGCCTGACATGAACACTGTAATCACAGTTCAGTATCAGGATATAAATCAAACTCTGGGTCTTTGGATCCTCTGTGGAAATATTTCTAACCAGAATTTCAATTTGGCCTTTTCAATGAAAGGCTTAGAGCGGTAGCAAGGGATTTCTCCCAATAGGAAACCTGATATCTGATTTAAAGAGGAGGTGATATTTTAATTGTTCGAATTAAGCTTCTTCCAAAGTTTGAGTGTGTTTACCCACTTAGGGCTTTCCAAATCAATTCTAACATGTTTTGTTACATGATCCCTTTTCCTGCTCCCATTGTATGTCATTTCTGATCATCTCCCGCCCTCCAAGCTGGGCAGCTTTCTCTGCCCTTGTCCATTTAGGAGCAGGAGTAGCGAATATGAATGAACATCCACAACGTTGAATATGAACATCCACAACGTTGAACTTCGCATTCTGTTCATATTGGTTATTGGAATTGTTGCTATGTGTTTTATTAGACTACCAAAGAAATACTGATTTTAGTAAAAAGACAGGGCCACCCTCTGGAACACTGAGAGTCCCCCAGAATGTCCCTCTCCTGCCTTTGCCAAGCCTCTGGCTGTTTTTGCAGGCTAAAGGGCAGGGACACTTGAAGAGACTTCCTCGGGGTGGCCTGTTTTTGGAGCCAAGGGGAGCTAGTGCATGCTTATACATTTTTCAAAAGGGTGGTGCACTCAGAACTTTGATTACACCCAGGATTTTTAATTCCTCTTGCAGCGTTGGCCAGCAGAAAGTGCTGGGGCTGCTTTTAGCCTCCAACATGTGTTTGTAAATAAAATTCCCCATTGAAACGTTTTAAAGAACTTTCAACATCTTTTTATCAAAGTTATGCCCTTCACTTGCTTTACTAACCATGTCAACCATAATAATCATCACCATCATCATTTTTAAAAAAAATGCTCTTTTCTAAACTTGAGCTTCCTTAGTGATTTCAAAATGAGGTATAAAGATACCGGACTCATTTAGCAAAACCCTGGAACTTGTTTCTCTAAACGTTGTACTAACATTCATCTTGTTTTAAAATTATTCCCGAAGGGTTTTTAAAACAAACTCTGGACATGAATTAAAATTCTTTTTTATAATATAAGTATTTTTCTGATAGATTAGAAAAAAAAAGGATATAATTGACTTCACTATAATTGTCATATATATTTCCATAAGTAAATGGATTTTTGAGGTATTTTTATTTTTTTGGATTTTATTTAAAGCATTTGTGATGACGTGTTCAACTTTTGGATGTATGTAGCCATTGAAGTAAAAATAAAATAAAATAAATAGGACTGTTAGGCTCACATTAATGATTTCTAGTTTCTATTGTTTATGATCATGGAACATGACTACCACACAAAGTAGGTTTTTGTCCCAGTGAATTTCTGCAACTATTTCTGACCCTTTGGAAAATACCAACTGTGAAAAGGATTTAATTTGCCTAATGTTAAAAAACCTATCATCTAAATTACTTTAAGAGAGGATTTTGTCAGATTTTGCTTTGGAAATTGTTTTAATTGAATATTTAGTCATAATAGACTTTGTATGAACTAAGCTGATTTAATCAGTTTAAAAACCTCTCATTACCTTCTTAGATTAAAGAAGCTAATACTCTTTTGAGATAGAAGCAAATATTTCGTGGGGCATGTGACTTTGGTGTCAGGGCAGTTGACCCTCTTGGCCCGTGCTGGGGCAAGTGGGAGCTTCCAGAAGAATCCTGGTCTTTTTGGCCAGGTCCTTGCCAGGTTCGGCCTGCGCTGTCTGCAAAAGAGCCACACGGAGACCAGAAAGTTCGCTTTCTCCTGTGTGTAATTCCTTGGGGTGCGTGACGCAGAGCCAGGAAATCTGATTGAAACTAACATTCTGCTTCTCCTCCCATCATTCCCTAGATTGTCATATCATGGGCGCTTGCCCCACACTGGGAAAGTTATGCCCAATAAATAAGGATGAATAATACCCACTTAACCTAACTTGCCTATATTTCAATCGTGGCCTTTCAGTAAGCCCCTCTCTCAAGTGCTGACTTACTCAGTTTTAAGATTTCCTCTTTTGCCCCAACTTTCCCCATATTTCTAACGTGAGGGTATGGTTTACAGCAAGCACGTACGTTTAGTATAACCTTGCTAGCAGACTGAGGGTACTACGCTCGCTGCAGAAAAAAAACATGAAAAGGAAAACACAACTCTGGCTACCTTTGAGGATGAAGTGGACCCTAACCTTCACGCTCCTCTTCTTGGATTTAGCCGCTCACAGTCACGAGAGTTTGCAGCTGATGGAAACTTTGGCTATAATTAGGTCCAGTAGACGTGACACGCAATCCACCAACCGAGCCTTGACCCAACTTGTCCCTTGGGAAACACACAGGGCCGGCAAGCCACAGGGCTGGGCATTGAAGCCTGCAAGCCACCCTGCCGTGTAGACTTCCTTGAATACAGAACACCAGCCTCACCTCCCCAAAAAGCTACCCTGATCAGCACTAAAATCCGATCCGCTCTGGCCACTAACATGACTACATCATCAGTGTTTGCAAACTGATTTGTGAACAGTTCCTCATGCTCTGCCTCGAACTCTGAGTGCCCCAAGTGACTTCAGGGTCTGGGGTTTGAAAGTGACCTTACCGTGACAGTGGGCGTTTGCTGCTCACCTCTTGGAAGATCTCGACTTTTGCACGCACACAGAAGCGGCAGTGCTCGGAACGGCCGCGTGGTGGCGCTGCCTTCCAGCCGACGGTTCTGGCTCAGCAGCAGAATTTGATCCTGCTGTATGTAGTTTGTGGAATTATTTTCAGGCCCTACTGCATTTTGCTCTTATGCTTTTATCAGAATTTAACTAGAAAATGTAAAAGTGACACTTAGCGATATGGAACATTTAGTTTCGTGCACCGAATAAAAATGTGTCAGAGATAGAATCTTCCAGATGAGCTTTAAAAAACAAAAAACCAAAAAAAAAAAAAAAATCTCAAATCTTAGCCTCTCATTGGCCCTATAAGCAGTTGTGAAGAGAAAGAATAAATTAACTAGCACACAGGAAATATGGGAGATATTTCATCCAATATTGTGCCCACAGAGAGAAAATGAGGGTTTGATTTTTTTTTTTTTTTAGCTTTCTGAATATGGAATTCCCCCTTAAAAATGTGAGTCTACCATCCTTTCCCTATATTGTATGTTTCTGTAAGATTTCACTCACTACAAACGAAAGTAGAGGACTGCCTGTATATTGTTTACTTCTTTAAAAGAATACATTGAGATCAATTAAAATTACTGAAGAGTTTGAAAGCCTGAGTCATTGTTTCAACAGCTGGGAGGAGCCAGAGGGTGCAAGGAAAAAAGACAGGGACTAAGGTTCTAGAAAAGTCCATTCGAATTTGTGCTCCTGTAGAGCCATTGGAGTGGGTTCCCCCTCTACTTCTCCCAAGAAGGAAAAAAAATATCCCCAAAAGATTCCTACACATTTGACTCTACTGTTCCAGTTTTGTTTTCTGTCATTTTGACATATGCACCAACAGCCAAGAACTCTTCTTGTTTAGGTTAACCCACTGAGGCCCAAAGTCACCATCTGCTGTGCACGAGACATGACCGACTCCATTTTTAAAAGAAAACGCAGAGACTATTAGAATTTTCGAGTGGAAGGGACCTTTGAGATCATCGGCCAGTGCTCCTCATTCCTCAGCCTGCAGAAGAATCACTGCATTGCTGGGTTACTGTGCAGATTGCTCAACCCCAGCCCCGGAGGTCTGGGAGGATGAGATACCTGCATTTTTAGCAAAAGTCCCAGTGAGTCTCAGGCTGCTGGTCCTCAGACCCCTCGCTTTGAGAGCCCATGGTTGTATCCAATCCCCACGTATGAGAAATGAGAAAAGCCTCTAGCCCTAAGCTCTCTCAGGTGACCTGATTCACATGTGTGACACTAACCATCTTAGGAAGCCACAGTTAGATGGGGGAAAGCCACTATTCCCAAGACTTGAGCAGACCGTGCTCGTAAATAGGAACATTATGGCTGGGACCCATAGCTGTCACAGAGCCTGTCTCTGGAAGTTCGTAAGATAAAGCCTCTAATACAGAGTGGTAGCTTTTCCCTTTTCTAAATACCATTTCAGCCTGTTAAGAGAAAAGAAATTAATGTTCAGAAAAAAGTAGTTACTCCATATGTGCAGTAACTACTTTTCTATAATGTCTTATGGCATCTGGGGTTCAGCACCATTGAACAAGATTAAATGAACGTTATAGAGCTATAAAATTGCGTGTAAAATAACGCAAAACTGTTCGAATGACTATCAAAGTAGACTGGGAACGAATTTCCACTAAAATTAATTGTCACTTTCTAAACGTAGCTTAGCAAAGCTGATACTAAACTGGAGAGGTTCTTGAATGCTAGGAGTGTCAAAAAAAAAAAAATCAAATAAGTATTCCCCAAACCATGTGAATGATAAGCAAAAGTCATTGTGAAGTCGATATTTTCTTGTTCATCATTGCTACTGAAATTTAGAGTCTCATTGTATATGTGTGTGTTGAATGTACCTTCTTAGAATATCCAATAAAATAGCCTTTGGATATTCTATGCTCTCGTGTCCTTTAGGGATCATGAGGGTGAAGGAATCTGTGTTCAATGTTTTGTTTTAGTTGCTACCTGAAAACAGTTATTGACTCATTCAATGAAGTTCGAGGTTTCTTTATGAAAATGCCAACTTCTAATATTTGAAGTCAGAGAGTCTTTCTTGGACTTTCGTTTTGGAACAAGTGTTTATTTGCGATGTATTGAACTGTCAACTTTGCATTATAGAAGCGAGCATGAAGTAAATAGGAATGTTTCCGAGTTTTCTTTGGAAAATTCATGGTACCTCTCGTCTTCCTACATACAAAGAAACAACTTTTAATGAAGGCTTAAGAATGTGAAAATTTTAG